GATTCAAATAAGGTCAGATTTGAGAGGAGAGCCAGAGTTTGCTTTGTATCTTGTATAAAAGATGGTAAAGCCTCCACATGTGGGCGCAAGATTTTGTCTATATAGACACTCCCATTCTGTGTGAGATTGTCTACCCCAGATACAATCAGGCATCCAGGAGGGTTTATTTGATCCTTATGGATCTTGAGCAGGCAGTAGAAGGGTTGCTACCCTTGGATTTCGATTGAGGATGAATTCATATTCATCCTTAGAGAGAAACCCTCTACTGCGGCCCATATCCAGAATTTATTTGTATTGACTCGGAAATGCATTAGTAGTTCAGTTTTTAGAGTGTGGTATGTATCTTTGTTAGTAGACGACTATGTTGCCCCCCCTTGTCCGTCGGTTTGATGGTGATTTCCCTATTCTTTCTGAGGGAATGGAGGGCTTTGTTTTCTTGTTTAATTAAATTCATCTTGGAATAACATTCTAAGTCAACGCTTCTGATGCTTTCAATTTCAAATCTGAAAGCCTCCAAGAAAAGCTTTATGTTTCTAAAACTCCCTATATTTGGTGTGAATCGACTCTTGGGTTTCAGATTTGTCTGGCTATGAGTGATAGTAGTGTAATTCTCCTCAAGTAGGGACACCAGAGTCATTAGACAGTCATAGTCTTTACTTGGCAGGCCTAAATCTCTCACTTTCCTCTCGATCTGAAGTTGGTGGTACTTGTATAAAGCAAGTTTTCTAGCGAAAAGATGTAGGTCTTTAATCCATACGAATTTGTTGTAGGCTGGAACTGACACAAATGATGGACCATTTTTTTTAAACATTTGTCTCATGATGAGTTAGGGTGTGATTTTAAATATTGACTACTTGGGTGGTATTACTCAGAATTGCGTCCTAACACAAATGGAGAAACTGTTCTCATTCTGTTAGGACGATATATGGTAGTTTTGCCAGCGTTCTGTCTAAGTGACAGGACAGTCGGGAAAAGTGAAAGGAAGCTTCGCGGGAACACGAGGAAAGGTGAGAATTGTGGGAAAATTGCTTTGACCACCGAAAATAAAGCACACTTTTTTCCTCCGCTGGTCAAAGCTGGTCAAGCGTAGGAAACCTCCATAAGACAAAGTAGTCGCTACTTTGTCTTATGTTTTAACGATAACTAGAGCAGACAGGATGAAATGAAGAACAGATCCTTACAGAGGAAGAGAAGATTAATCAATTAAAGAACGGTAAGTTCAGCATGACTGTGCCGCTTCAAATAAGTTATCCAAGCGTTTCTCAACGCACACAGAGTAACTGTGAAACAAATGGAAGAACTCACCAAAAACAAGAAAAAAAAAATACATCATAAATCTTGCTCTACTTAGTGTTAGGCTTCTAAATATAGGTCTCCATTTACTTACTACTTTAGCAGCCCTTCTCTTTATTAATGGTCAAATTCCAACTTTTACCCACTTACTTTGTTTGCACAATATAATTTATTAGTGATATCATTTATTAACTTATCTCTGACGCATTGACAAGAATAACAGGAAAATAAACTATAAAACTTGCGACACCATTAGTGATCTACTAGATATTATGAAAAAATCTATTGTTCAGGAGTAAATTCATTCATAGGCCACTCTAGCCATACAACGCAAGTCAAGGGCAAAGCAAAAAAAGGTTACTGCAAACTAGTTATTGCAAACTATCCCAAACCCCAATACACATCTAAATAACAGGAGATTTTTAGTAACACTCTAATGCCCATTAAGGCAAGCCACTTAGGCAAGTCCTACACTAACAATTAACAATTAACA